TGGACTCCTCCGTATCCTCTTCACGGCCATCGCAACTCCTCCTATTGGGGCGCTGCCGTTGCACACGCATGAGCAACCTCGGGCGCGCGTTGTGCCGTGAAAAGGGTGGGCGCCTTCGGCGGAGATGGGTGCTTGCGGGTGGCGTCGGGTCGCGTGCCGCTGGCAATGCGCGCCGGTAGTGCGTCGCGTAAACCACACGAATTCTCGCAGCGCGTGCAGGGGGACGGCGCCCCCCCCCACCACACACACACTTTTTTTTGTATGTCTTTGCCTTCGAGGGGTGCATTTGTTCCCCCCCCCCCAGCGGGGCTGGCGAGGCCGCTGGGCGAACGCCACGCATACGCCGGGGGAGCCGCCACGGCGCACGCCGCTTCCCCCCGCGCTCTCAGCGCCACTCCGCCCTCCCTCCACCGGGCCCGCCCTTTTCGCCGGGGCCGGGTTCCGCTTGGGCGCCCGGCTCTCGCAAGCGGCAACTGCTGACCGCGCGCCGCCCGGGAGCCGAGGGGCCGCTTCCGTACGGTGCGCCGCCCTCGCGCGACGAACAGCCCGCCCGATGTGTTTGACCCGCAAACAGCAGGGGCGTTCGAGGCGCCCCGGGCCCTCCGTCACACCGAAAGTCGGGAACACTTCATTAGTTTACCGAAGCCTCCCCAGCGCGAGAGGTGCCGCCGCACTTCGGCGCGCGCAGCTGTTGGGCGGGAAGCCCACTGCACTTGCCCCGGGCCCCCTGCGCACGGCGGCGCCCAAAAAAAGCCCAACTGCCGCCACCGGGGGGCCAACAACGAGTCGAAGGGACTGGCCGCCGGTCCTTGGCTCCCCCTTTGCGAGGCACTGAGCCCCGGCACCGCGGCCGCCGCATTTGCCATGGGCCTCCGTCCTTGATCGAGGTGAGGCGCGCGCGGGCAGTTCCACACAATCCCCCTGGCGCGTCGTCCACTTCACCGCACCGCACCGCCGCCAGGCCCGCGTGCACCGGCCTATTCGCCGTCGCCGCGGCGGCGACACATGTCTTCTGCGGGGACTCATTCTCGTCGGCTTGAAGGCGCGTGCTGGAGGCATTCGCAGCTGGCGCAAAACACAGACCCACTAGAGAAATGGGAAACCAGTGGAGCGGAAGGTGCGCCCGCCCCCGCCCGCACTCGAAGTGACGCAACAGGTCGGAGCCCCGCGGAGGGTGCTGAGCCGCGCCGGCGACCTCGCTGCATCGCCCTGTGGCGGGCGAACGCGCGCAGTGGAGGCAACCAAAGTGGGCAGGCGCGTGCCAACGCCGGCTTGCGCCGCGAGAGCCGCCACTCTGCGGCTGCGTCTGCGTCATCTCCGGCGCCAGCGACGGCGCAGCGTCCGTCGCGCGACTTCGACCGCCCCCTGCAGCGCCATCGGCGGCCCGGGACGGGAAATTATGCCCCGCTTGCCGGCGCACGCGCGCCGCCCTCTCCACCCGAGCAACCCGCGCCCCTCCGCCGGCGCCTCCGCTTCCGCCCAGCGCTGGGACTCGCGTATGGCGAAACCGCGCGCATGCCTGTAGGCGCCGCGCTGCCGATTCCTTCCGGGCGGCGAAACGGTGCCGGCAGCGCCCCGTCGGTGAAACGGCCACCGCCAGCTGCAACCAGACAACCCTCGCAATCGCCTACGGAGAGCAACGACCGCAGGAAAAAAAAAGCAACAAAAGCAAGAACAGACGCACACTCTCAAGAGGGAAAAGGCGCCCTCGTGGTGTGGGGCCTCCTGCGCCCCCAGGCACCACCCACGGGGGAAAGGGGGAAACAAACGAGAAACCAAACACTTCGGCAGGTTGTGCCCGCCGCTACGCTTCCAAAGGGATACGTGCCCAGCACGGAAAAATAAACGACTATTTATTACATCCAGGCGTTTTTTGCCGCGGCCGGGCATGCGAGGGAGCTCGCGGA